CATCACCGCACACTTGCTCTTTGGGAGTCACCTGGTTGAAAACAGAGTGGTTTGAGGGAGGAAGCAGTTTGTGAATATCCTTGCAAACTTTCTCTGCTCCTGAAATTGTGGTGTATGGATGCAACGCTGTGCATCTCCATGCAATAGTTCTTCCTTAGCATGGTAACTTTTCCTGGGCTTTGTGACACCAGCTACCAAAGGAACCTTTGCTTCTCCCTTCTAATTATAAAGCATTACACCCCTGTGCACAGCTACCCTCCAGCTTATCTGCTGCCTTAGGGTGCTTCCCTGTGGGGTTGGAAAGAAGCAGCAGCCAGCAAAATATCTGCTGCAGGGAGGAGATGCTTCTTCCATATGGAATGTGGAGTTTGGGGAGAGCATCGCAGCCCCCAGGACAGGAGCACTGCTCCAAAGGGCAGGAGGGGCTCTGCTGCTGGGAGGTGACACGGTGCTGTCACAGGAACGTGTGTTCCTGCAGTTTGTGGATGGTGCCACAACCATCCTCAGACCTTCCCGTTGCCACCAGAGGGAGAAGGGCTCAGCAGCACAAGGATGAAGGGAAAGGAGGATGCTGTAACCACAATTTGTCTGTAATTCATTCTGGGTGAGCCAGGCGGGTGTCCCCGTGAGCTGGAAAATGTGAGCTCTGTTTTGTCTTGCTGCCGATGCTGATGACAACACAAAATTGTTCTCATTAAAATATTCTAGGGGCAAACTTCAACTTTTCATCAGTCAGCAAGTCATGCACCAGTGTCAGGCTGGGGGGTCAGAAACAAGGGAAGGGGGTCCAGAAAGATCCTCCCATCCCCTGAGACCCACCCTTTTGGATTCACCTGGTTGAAAACCAACTGCTCTGAGAAAGGAAACAGTTTGCAAATGTCTTTGCAACCTTTCCCCACTCCCAAAGTTGCAGTGCATGGATGGAGAGCAGGTCTCCTGTCAAAATTACTATTGGTGATGGATGTGCTCTTCCAGGGAGGAAAAATGCCCCTGTCCTGGAATAGGAGAGGTTGCACAACACCTTGGAGCTCCTCAGTGACAGCCTTCCGCCAGCATCTCCCTCCCTGTGGAGTGCAGACCCTGCCAGGTGAGCTGCAGCTCTCCACGCTTGTCTGTCTCCTGTTTTGAGGCCCCTCAGATGCCCATCAGCTCCTGGGAGCTGGCTGACCATGGCTTGAGACCTTCTGCTCCAGTGGCAGATGAACTGAGGCTGGGACAGTTCAGGCAGGAAATAAGTGACATATTTCCAGCAGTCAACAGTGATGAGTCACTGGAGGAATCTGCCCTGGGATCTGTAAGTTCATCACTTCCAAGGGTCTCTTGACTCAGGGCCGGATGATTTCCAAAGGGGTGCTCTGCACTGGCCACGTGCTGAGGACATGAGGATGCTGCTTGGGTGATGTTCTTTATGCAGGAGCTTGGACAATTGGCCTTAATGGCCTGCAAGCCACTTGCTGAATGGATAAATAAGTGGTTACAAAGCAGCAGCAGAGCAGTTTGGCAGGGATGGTCAAGTGTGGGACCATGGTGGGCTTGGGGTGATGCCCAGTGTGGGGACTTGATGATGTGGGATGAGCTTTGTTCCCCTCTAGGGAAAGCTGGAATTGTTTAGGGGTCCTTCCTTCCTCAGCCTTGGATCCACGTGTCCCAATGGCCACTGGTGATGGGAGGGACAAAGGGTTTTGCTGGCAGGGAGTTGATCCTGTGGCTCTCATGGAGCTGAGCCTGTGGCTGTCATGGAGCTGATCCTGTGGCTCTCATGGAGCTGAGCCTGTGGCTCTCATGGATCTGAGCCTCTCTGGGTTCAGGGGATTACAGTTGTGGTCCCCTGGCTGTGCGGGGGGATTGGGGATGGCCTGAGGAAGAGGAAGAGGTGACAGAGACATCCTGAAAGTGACACCATGAGAGCTGGCCTGCATGGAGGCTGCTGTGATGAAGGCAAATAAAGGAAACAAGGGGAACCCAGGTGTCCCTTCTCCTCCCAGCTCCTGAAGTCAGCAGGGCAGCAGATTTCTGCACAGGCAGTTGAGTCCCTGCCATGTTGCACCAACACACACTCACCATTGATTTTCTCTCCCTCTCTGAACTCACCATAGCATTGATGTCCACAGTATCTTGGGGCAATGGATTTCAGGCTTTATTTGTGCAATGTGAACACTTTCTGCCTTGCTCTCTGATCCTCTCCTAGCAATTCCTGCCACTTGACTCGCTGCCTTTCAGTCTGAGCATGTGCTGGGCAGTTTCCCTGGGCACATCTTCACACCTCTCCACATTGCATTAAATCTCTTAAATCTTCTCCTTGATAGCTCAGCACTGTGAGCTTCTGTAGCCCTATTTAACTTTGTCTCAACTGTTTGGTATCACCTTTGCCTGACCATTGATTCCTCTTGTTTTGGGTGCTCTGCACCTGTGGGCCTTTGCTCCCTGGAAAGTGCTCTACAATCCAATGGTTTATTTCTACCCTTTGGTTTCTTTCAGCTCAATTTCTGTGCAGAATCTGACCCTCCTTGCTGCCTCTTAATTCAATTTCTGCCCAGGCTGCTTGTCCAGGCCAGGTGGGGAAACCACAGAGGCTGGTGATGGAAGACTCAGGTCCCTATTACATGCACTGACACGTCTCTACTCAGTAAAATATTTATTCCTCCATTATTTCACAAGAGTTGTTTTTACAAAAACCTTACAAAAATTTCCAAAACACAGACATGCAGAAGAAAAAAAAAAAAAACCAAATCCACCATGGATCTTGTTACAAGTAATTGAAATGTACAAATAGAAAGGGCGAGAGAGAGCTTAGATTACAATAATCCCTCGGTCCTGCTACCCCTCCATGGGTGCAATTTGTATCTCTTCTTGGTGAGTTCAGCATTGACTGACAAGCTGTGATAAGCTGCCAAAAGCACAGCAAAGGAGGGGCCCTAAGATTAGGAGCAAATGTTTTCAAATATATATATACATATAGATATTTAGTGAAGAAATATTTATTCCCTGCTTTTTTTAGGTTTACAGAAACAGCATCTGCAAACTATTAAATGGGTTTATTTTCATTAATGTTCTCAAAGAGGCAGCGACATTTATATCCCTGTGGTTTCATCTTGTATAAGTGAAAAAAGAGCCCTGTGCTTTCCATGGGAATGGGACCCCCCTGGCCCCCTCCTCCTGGCCCAGTGGTGTTTCTCAGGGTGGATGGTTTCATCCACAATGGATCCCTCTTCCCCCTGGCTTGGCAGGTCCCTGTGCAGTGTGGGGAGCTGGCATGGCACATGGGAGGGACACCAGCCCTGGAAATGCAGATGGGGGGAGAGGGTGGGTGTTTAGGGTGGCACTGGAGGAGGTGGGCAGGGTCAGGCAGGCTGTGCCCTGTCCCTGCCGGCCAGGCTTGAGGAGGAGAACGAAGCTGTTCCCAGCTGTGAAGCAGAGAAGGCAGGGCTGGAGGCAGGATGGACAGAGGGGCTGGTTCACCCCCAGGCACAGGAGATGGCTCTCCCATCAGGTGAGTCCCCCCATGGTGGCATTGCCTGGGGTGCAGCTGATGGCCCCGGTGTCACAGCCATGGGTCCCACATGCAGCTGCAGTGACACCCCGGTGGGAATGGGAGAGGATGCTCCATTCCGGGGACTCAGGTGGGCACGCTGTAGTGTGGCACTTTCAGCCTCAGTGTCACCAACCAGAGGATGTTTACCTGCAGGAGGCACCTCAGCAACTGCTCTATTTGTCCTCAGATCCATTGCTGCAGCCCCCAAACCAACCCCTTCTAGGGAAGCAGGGCTGTGTCTTCTCCGCCCAGGCCACCCCTCTGAGCTGGTGGTGTCCCCATGCTTGGCTGGTGGCTCTTTCCAGTGGGTGAGGAAAGGGTGCTGTGGTTTCCAGTGGGCTTTGTCCACAGGGACACCCCACACCTCCAGCACCCCAGCTGTGGAGCGGGGAAGGTGGAGGCTGCATCTCCACAGCTCAGCCCCATGGCTCAGGGCCAGGCTGCCCACCCCGCGTCCATCTTTTGCACGCCCCACCTTGGAACCTCATTAGGCTGCACAGCGGGGTGGGATGAGGGGGGAAACCATTTCCTTTCTGCAAAACCAAGAAAGGCTCCCCCCATGGAGCCGCCGGCCCCGGAGCCCTGAGCACATCTGCGGAGCTGCCGACGGGGAGGCTGTGCCTCCGGAAGGCGAAGCCTTCGTTGGCACGAAGCGCTGGGAGCCGCCTACTCAGCTGAAACCCAACAGCTTTTTCCAATTTTCTCTTTCCCTGGGACTGTTCAATGACCTGGGGCTCCACAGAATCGCTGGCAAATCCACCGAGGCAGGGCAGCGGTGCCTGCTTGGGGATTGGCGATGCATCCCCAGCTCATGGGAGAGCTCACAGGCTCCAGGAGGGTCTGTTGAGGTGCTGCAGCTCTGCTTGCCCCTCTAGGAAGGGACAGAGCCCGATTCCACCAGCATAGGCAGCTCATAAATGCAGGAAGCACAGTGCAGAGGGCTGGCCGAGACTGGCCATGGCATGGGCGAGCCATCAGCTTCACAAAGCCCCAGACTTTGGGAAGTCCCAAACCCCACACTGTGGCCGGGGTTGCACAAAGAAATGAACGCATGGATCAGCTTTGGCACACACAGTTGAGCGCCACAAGTCACAGCCTGGTGGAAAGGGGGGCCCGTGATCCTCCCACGGTGTCCCTGCGGGAGGAGAAGACCCAATAACTCTTTGGCTCTCTGGGCAAGATACCCAAATTGGTCAAATCCAATAGTCCAAGATCCTTCCATGTTTGGAAGCAAATTCTTGTTCCCTTGGCAAGTCTGTTTGTCCTCGAAGAGCGTGTGGGGGGTATGTGTGTATATATAGCCGTTATTATAAGGGTGTGCGGAAAAGCAAGTTTCTAACCAAGTTCGCTCCATATGTGGCTATAATTATGTGCCACTTCGGCCTGGGACTGACTCTACCTTCAGAAGGGAAGGGAAGAGGAGAGAAGATGCTGAGACATTGGATGAGTGGCACGTGTGTTGGGCAGGATTTGTCCTGGGCCTGGCATGGGAGCTCCACGCTGTGTCCTGGAGGAGGCCACGGGATGGGCTTTGCCCTGCTCAGTTCACGGTGGGCACCTGGTTCTGGTGGAGGCTGAACTCCTTGGCCTTGAGGCGCAGGCTGGCGATGCTGTTGGCCATGTTCACCCCCTGGGCGGGTGTTGCGGTCCCGCTGGAGCTGTAGGAGGGCACAGTGCTGTGGGAGGGAGCAGGGAGCAATGAGGAATGGCCCATGGAGAAGACCCCATGCCCTCTGTGGTCCTGCTGGCTTCCCAGGCCAGGCTGGCTGCTCCCTGTTGGAGATCTCTCACAAAACCAGCCAAGACTTCAGCATTTTTATGGGCTTGGATGGATGTGGGAACCCCTCAAACTATGCACCAGGAGGCCCTGCTTTGTGCTTTTGGATGTGATGGCTGAACACGAACAGCTGGGAACCAGAAGGGACCCATGCCACCTCCTGTGCTGAGATGTGGGAAGGGTCAGCACGAGGCCAAGCAAATCCTTTGCGAGGACCAGGGCGCCTGCTCCAGCCCCAAAATGCAGGAGGCAAAGAAGCCTGCTCAACATTGGGCAATGGATGCTCAGACAGCTTAAATTATTCCAAAGCCAAGTCAGACGAGCTCCTTTCAGCCTCATAAAGCTCCCCAGATCCCCAGCAGTGGCACAGGGCTGCAATCCTGGGGCAGTGGAGCAGTCTCTAGGCAGCCCTGCCCCGTGGCCGCTTCCTCCCCAGCTCCTCCAGAGCCTCCACCTACCTGTACGGGGAGGTGCTGGTCCACGAGAGATACTCGGGGGTCAGTGCAGTGGGTCGTGGTGCCATGGGCTGCTCGATGGCTGCCTCCTGGCTGTAGGATTTGAGCAGGGATGCTGATCTGTTGGCCAGCATCGCCCTCTCGTTACGGCGGAATTTGGCCCTCCGGTTCTGAAACCACACCTGTGATGGGGAAAGGTGGAAAGGTGGTCAGAGGGACCCAGTGCACTCAGGGATGTCCCAGCCATCTGTCCTGTGGGTCATGGTGATGCGCAGGATGAAACACGGGAGGGGACAGTCCCTGCTCCTGCCTGGGGCGAGGCAGAGGTGCTGTTTTCTCCCACGCAAACCTGTGCTCACCTGGACTCTGGCCTCGCTGAGGTTGACCCTTCTGGCCAGCTCCTCCCTCACGAAGGCGTCGGGGTAGTGCGTCCTCTCAAAGACCCTCTCCAGAGCCTGCAGCTGGCTGCTGTTGAAGGTCGTGCGGTTCCTCCTCTGCTTCTTCTTCCTCTTGGCTGCCCCACAGCTTGGGCTCAGGCTCTCCCCTGTGGGGAAGGAACAGAAGCCACATGAGATCCAGACCCGTGTGAGACCCCCTGACCCAGCCAAGCCCAAGCCCTCCTGGGGATCTGCAGTGTCATGCTCTGGGCCAGCCTTGCTCCCTCCAGGGTGGGGATATGTGCAACCCTGTGATGTCCATGAGAATCAAAACATGTTTTGGGACCTGCTGGAGCTTAGGGTTAACCCCACAATTCATCAAGGCCTGTGGTGGTTTCACATCTGGCTAAACCATGATTTTGAATACCAGTCTCAGTGTATTCTGGGGCTGCACTTGATCCAAGCTGGAGCTCAGCTCTCGCTAAGACTTCAAGTCAAGCTTTCATGAATGGTGATGAAAATCCAGCACCAAAACACCCCCAAGGTGTGGCTCTCAGCTCCCACCTCCAGCACCCCCGAGGCCCCAGCTGTGGCACGTCCCCAAGGTGACACAGGAGCCAAAGCATCTGCTCTTCCAGCCCTGCTCCTTGGAGCTCGGAGCGAGCGGCACCGCGTCTCGCAGGGCTCAGCCTCCGCAGTGTTTATTTCTGGCTTTGCTGCCTCATGGAAACATGAAGCTGAGGGTGTAGTCTGGTTTCTCAGTATTGATCTTGGGCTGTCAGCCAGGCTGAGATTAATCTCCTCTTTGTCACTAATATCATAAGGTTTGGGCAATTTCGTGAAGGCTTTTTCCGAGACACCCAGTCAGCTCCTGCAAAGGCTTCATGGGGAGCACGACTCGCTGTCGTTCTCCCTTGTGGAGGTACTGGTTAATGGTTCTTACTGTTCATAAAGCATCTGGATCCAATCTGTACCTACTGGTGGGAAAGCATTCTGGAATTATTTGAAATGTTAATAATTTTATGACATTCTGATTCATGGCAGGGGTATGTTGGGGCTTTCTGCTCTGTATCGTTGCAGAGGCCAGGGTGGCAGAACTCACCACTCCCTGAGTATGCTCACAAATTAAATACTTGCTAATAATATTAATTTTGATATTTATTTAATAAGACCAGCATTTTCAGATAATGCTTGAGCAACAAACAAAATCTACTGGAAGAGGTATTAACTCTGTTGCTTCAAGATACCATCAAGATGTGGAGCAAGAGGAAACTTCCAAGATCTTTAAGGCCAGAAAAACGTTCTTGCACCTTAACTCTGAATAATTCAAGCCATGAAACGTCCAACAGCAAGTTTTTCATGAAGTCCCTAAGACTCCTATATTCCCAACTACACCATTCTCCCAAGGGCTCTCTGCAGCCACTGGCATTTCTCTGGGTCATTAATTGTGCTGTAGGTGCAACTTGGCCTTGGTTGACCATCAGCAATCTGTGATCCTGGATTTTGGACATGGCCTTCTTGGCTGGGTGAAGACACGATGGACAGTGCCTGAAGTATGTGTGGGCTTGAGACCCTTTCCCCAGCCAGGAAACCACGGGCTGCCCTTCACCACCAATCGTGTCTCACAAATAAAATTCTCAGAATTCCCTCCAGCACTTCCTCCTGCAGCTTCAAATGTTCTGCCAGTCTCTGCTTTCCAGTTGCCCCTTTTAGTTAAACTCCTTTTTTGGTCCTGTTTTCCTCCAGCGAGCTAACGAGCCGCTGGATTAAAATACATGAAGTCCAGCCATGGCTGTCCCTGAGTTTTCTGGGAGCTTGGGACTGAAATGGGAACCATCAGGCTGGGAAAGAGCTGCAGGATGTAACAGGGTGAGAGGTTTCCTTGTGGGTTTATGACCATGCCACAGGGCTTCTGGGGAAATGGTACATCAGGGTTTGGTTCAAAATAGTCACAGGGGCACCCACTGCCCCTCACCAAACTGATAGTGATTTCAACAGAACCCTGGGAAATGTATAAATAAAATTTATAAACTCCCTTTGGCTTCATCCTCAATTTAAACCTGGCTATAGGACTTTTCCATAGTGTTGATTTCCCTTGCCCACTCTAATTGGGCTGAAAGAAACGAGGAAAGTTTTTTGAAATTAGCTCTCGATCCAGTTCTGTAGGATCTGGCCACATTTCTGGCTGGTCTTTATCTCCCCAAACCCACAGAAGGAAGAGCTAAAGAGCCACAGGAGACAAGTGGTGCTGAGTGCTTCCTTATGGGGCTGGCAGTCATGCTGGGGTCGAGGTTTAGGATGGAGTTGGATCAGGATGTGTCCAAGCACCAGCAGTTCCTGGGTTTTTGGAGACCTGCAAACCCTGGGCTGGTTTTGGGGCATTTTGTTCAGCCCCTATTGCTGCTTTTAATGCAGGGACCTTCCACACCTTTTCCAGGCCATCTTTCCATGGCAGAGGCAGCTCCACACATGGAGGTTCCTGTCTGGATCCTCTGCTCTGCCCGGGGATGAGCCTTGGTAATGGATCAGCATCTTTTCCTCATTAGCTCAGGCACTGCAGGCCTGTGGGACCAGGCAGATCCACCCTAATTGCTGGTGGTGAGTGTCTGACAGGTTTACAGGGTACAGTTAGGCTGGATCTGCTCCATCAGACAGGCTCTAATAACCCCAAATCAGCTTCCCAAAAATGAGCATGGCTCAATTCTCTGTGGCATCAGAGGAGGGATGGGAAGGGGGATGAGTTGGATCCTCTGAAGACACCCTGTCTTCTCACTGCCATCAGGAGGACTTGGATTCAACCAGACCTGCTGACACCTTGATGGAGGAATTGGAAACCAGTTCCCAGCCCGACGGGCTCCCAGGAATAAGAGTTTGTAATTGCACAAAGTTAAAACCAGCTTCCACCATCACTGTTCTGTGCCAAAGCAGTGCTTGGGGAGGCTGTGGAGAAAGCCAAAGCCTTTGTCAGGCATAATTTGGGGGTTCATTTGGGCTGAAGGGACCAGTCTGGTTGGCCAGCCCGGAGGTCAGAGGGGCTCCTGAGCCTTCCCCCCCAGCCCCTTCCCTGTATTTATCTTCCACTGATTACAATTTCCGCTGAAAGGAAAAGAAATGCAGGGAAAGGGGGAAAACAGGGGGGATAACGTTACTGAGTAACGAAAGATGACATGAGGGGGAGGATGGGGAGAGGGAGGCTCAGGGGGCTTTGCACAGAGCAGGATGGGCCAGTGTGCATCACAAAAAAAGCCTTAAATTGCCCCAGACTGTTAGGAAAGACAGGAGACTTTTTCACCTGTGATGTGGATGAGTTTTGGGGTGCTGGGTGTGTCCTGGGTCACCTCCAGCCTCCTCTGTGCCTGGGGACAGCTCTGTGCCCCACAGATGCCATGGGGTGCTGGGAGCCATCCCAAAACCCTTCTCCCTGTGGGAGCACCAATGCTGGCAAGCCTGGACAGTGCCACAGGGAGAGCTTGGAAGCAAAGGCAGCACCAGCCCTGGGGCAGAGCTGTGCTGGTTCAGCTGGGCACCAAGCAAGCCCCTTCTCCCACTCCTGCCTTTGCCCTCTGTGCTTCCATTAGTTTCCCACAGGAAGGACTTGGTGGGTCTCAGCCTTGGTGCTGGGCTTGCCCTCAAACTCCCACAGCACCGCAAAGAGGTGATTTTCACTGGATTCCCACCAAGGCTTTGGGTTTGACTAAGAGCTCCATTAGTGCACAGTAAATGGGCTCAGAGCAGCTGTGATCCAGATCAACCAACACAATCCCAACAGCTCTGCCTGACCCTGGAAACACAGGCAGGGAAACACAGGCAGGGAAACAAAGGCAGGGAAACAGAGGCAGGGAAACATAGGCATCCCTTGGGATGTCTGTCAGGGATGGGCTGTACTGCCAGCCATGCTCAGTCTCCCCTCTGGACACCCACTTTGGGGGGTTTATTTGTAAAATACTCATCCAGAGCGAGGTGTTTGCCCAGCAGCACCCCTGCTGCCCCAGCCTGTCCTTTCCCCAGGGATGCTGCAAATCCCACTCCCCATCAGCACCACCACATCTGGGACAAGTTTTCCTGACTCCAACTCCACCACTTGGCTTTGGGGTGCAAACACCCCCATTTTTCAGTTCAGAAGGCAGCAAGTTCAACCCTCTCATGCAAAAAAGCCCAGGCTACATGTCCTCCAATGTGTTTCATTTTCCACTGCACCGCAGCCCCCACGGCCCTGAAACGTTTTCTGTCATTAAATTATTTCACACGTTCCATTTATTTGGAGCAGTTTGCCAAAGACCCTTTAAGCTTTAAATTTTTCACACCCCCCCAAGCCAAAATGATCAAATCTGCTGTACCATTTACTTCCCTACTACGCCTGGAATGGCATTTTTTTTCCTCCTTTTTTTTCTTCTTGGGTATAATTTAAGGGTTGAAATAGCCTGGAGGGAATTAGCTGTAAATTCTTCCTAAGACAAATAAATTCAGCCCTCTAAGTTTCTACGTTTTTCAAACTGTTGAGAGACATTTTGGGTTTGTTTTACTTGAAATAATGATCGTGGCATATCTGACCCTCAGGCTGCGGCCGGCTCTAGCCAAATAAATAGCTTTTATTAATTAAGGTTTATCCTTAACAAATAAAACCCCAATTTGATCTCGGCCGGCTGAATTAGCAAAAATAAACAACGGGTTCTCTGGGCACTTGATGTGGATTTAACAAATTAACGCTGGGCCTTCATCAGGGAAGCCGCAGGGTGGTGGAGGTCTTTTACAGCCAAGAAATCCTTTGGAAAAACAATGTCTTTCGTTTCTCCCATGGTCTCTCTCGGTAAACATGTGCACTCCCTTCATCCCCTCGCACTCGGGGGAGCGAGGAGAGCTCCGGCCATGACGTCTGCCAGAGCCTCATGTGCAATTGTTTAACTTCTCCTCTAAATCATGGGGAGGGAGTGTTTCCCCTCAGGCTGCAGAGAGCTGGGGTTTGGGAATTGCCCCTCCGTGGGGTGCGCCCTCTCCAGCTCTGCTCTGCTCCACAGATTTCAGCTGAGACACCCAAAGCCAAGGTGGGATTTGGGGGTACATGGGCTCCCTCTTTCCAGCAGCCACTTCCAACTCTACCCTGCCTTGGGATGCAGTTGGAAACAGCCCGGGAGCCCAGAGGGGTTTTATCAGGGCTTTGCAGGGAGGAGGGACAGCAGGAGGGATGCTCCACAGGCCAAAGGGAAGCTGGGCACTTGTCCCTGCTCATGGGCACAGGAAGGACAGGGCTTGTGGCAGAAGGGATGATGGGAGATGTCTACACCACAACAGCTCTTTAATCTCCCCAAATCACCTTGGGAAGC